GTTTTAACACCTCACCTTTTCTGGTAACTTTCAATCTGATATGCAAGGTACCCACAATTTATTGCTCTTAGTGCGACAGGAATTTGAGATTCTTGCCCCCTTTTTGAAAGTATTTCAAAGAGCATCCTCCACAGATATCTATGAACAGCTAGTATTAAATGCAGACCACATGGTAGGAGGCAGCTCTCACTGAATGCGGTAAACAGAGGTAACCCCTGCAAAAATAATTATGAAGACCATTGCTGATAAATTTAAAAGTACAGTAACTGGCAGAATAATTAACTACAGTACACAATACAGGCATGACTAGTTTTACAAAAATACACAGTATGAGATTTCTGTTATCGCAAGGATGCCAGAAAACCTGTGAGATGTTCAATCCGCCAGCTCGATAATTTTTTTGGGGGGGGGAGGGGGTCAATATTCATATGTTCGTGTTCACAGACCTTAAAAACAATAGATCTCAAAAGAAATTAATAATGCAGAACACGAGTATATGAATGTGTTATCGAGCTGGCAGTGCCACTGAAGATGTTATAGTTACTGTACTTTTGATCTTTCACTACATTCTGAGACATTATAATGGCGATCATGCTACTTTTCTCAAGGCTCGGAATGGCCATTGTACCATCTTGTGCCAGGCATTGCTTCAATACAATAGAATGATATTCAGGAACAAGATAGCACAATGAACAGTGTGAGATTGGGTACTTTTCTCTGGGGGGAGGGAGGCAGAAATTTAAATACATAGTTTAAATGACAGTAGTATGCACTTTTGGCAAACACACCCTGAATTTTGCCCTCCTGGCCCGAGCAAAATCTAAAAATCTGTCTCTGGCTGCTTGATATATAGTTAAAATATATGTCTCACTCATCCTAAGATGAGGATGAGTGAGACATATATTTTAACTATCAAGCAGCCAGAGACAGCCGCAGCGGTTGTGTTAATTTAAAATTTCCAGCACAATATGAAAAAGAATGAAGAAAATAAATTTTGAGTAATTCAAATGTTAACATTTACAGTACTTACGGTCTGACCAAAATGGGTCTGCTGAAACTTTGTATATGCTGCAGATGACTTGTCAGGGCATTTTCCAAGCACACGTTCAGCTTCTTTCCCCATTTCTACCATATCAGAGATCTTCTGAAGTGGCGACGTTGTTGGTTTCTTGTTGTCCCAATCCAGCATATTCTTCTTGCACCAGTAGCAGCCAAACATTGACGTACAAAGGCATTTACCAAGAGATTCCTTCAGATGACCAAGATCAGTTACAAGAAATGCAATGATGTTAAATGTCTCCATGGTGTCATCAGCCAATGTTAAGGCTAGTCCATTATGTACAGCTGACCTCACATCATCGTAATGGCCCTTTACATGAGCTTGAATGTAGTTCCTAGTCTCAGGACCCCTCCAAATAGAAATCAGAAATTGACCATAAGGAGAGTTTATTAGCTTAGTCAAGTTTAGAATGCTAAATGACATTTGTTCGGTTGGTTGATGAGCACCAGCTCTAAAATTGTCGCCTGTTTCTCTAAGGAATAAGGTACGCTTACATGGATCCAATTTGCCATAGAGTTGTGGGTCTTCCCTTTTTAGATGTGCAAACAGCTTGGTTTGCTGTTCCTGAGTTGGGAATTCAAATTTCTGAAACAGCACCTCAGTGGAAATTACTCTCTGAAGTGTATCTTGAAATTCAGCACCAGAACAGATACAATCAAGCCCCTCGTACTCAAAATTGACACAATGTTTGTGTAAATTGATTACCCCAACTTCCAGTTCCGATATATATTTGGCAACAGCAGCATATGGAGACAGGTAAACATTTGCTTTCTTAAAAGTCTTACTGGCTGCAATATATTCTCTTTGGGACAAGCGGGTTTTTCCAACTAAAAACTCAGCTGAATTATGTAAACTTATATACCTTGGTCTAGCAATCTCTAATTCAGAAACAAGTTCATCCAGGTATGACCCACTCTCTTCGATAGCACTTGTAACTAAGCCAGGATCATTTTGGCACAGGTACACAATGTAACTTTGTACATCATTAGAGGATGTAAACTTCACCATCTCGTGTACTAGGGTGTTTCGTTCTTTCCTTGCTTGAGGTTTCAAAGCATTGGTTGGTCCAGCATTCCGAGTCTTTGTGTTTGCAACCTTATCAAGCAGAGGATATTGTGATACAATTTTTCTCTTTATAACTCTGGTGTCATTAGTTGTAGTAGATTCTGCAAGATCGTCATACAATTGTCGTTTCCTACAAACTTTGGCTAACGCTTGGAGTTGTTTAATGACATCTGGTCTCTGGAAGCCAAAAAATTCATAACCAGAAATCTTTTTCTTATATTCTTTGATCTCTAAAAAATCAAACACATTCCTCACAGCAGTAGTTGGTTTAACTTCTTGGGTAGTGTATAGGTTGTCCTCACCAGAAATAACCGCACACTGAAATATAGGACCAAAATTATGAGAACGAGAACTAACAACCTTACATGAAATCTCAAATGACGTTCCTTCCGAATTTATATTAAGTCGAGCATCGTAACCTGGTCGAAGAGGCACAACATTTTCGCCTGAGCCATACGACCACAAGGTTCTATTTGTTCCATCATCACATGGAGGGTCTTCCCCCACAGATAGAATTCCCAGCCAACTAACCAACCGTCCAGACCTTTGTGCAATGTTTATCGTGACTTTATCAGGGCTAGATGGTTCACTTTCGTCGGTATTGGGAGCTTCATTTTCAGTATTATCAGAAACCTGATTAACACTAAGCTTGCTTATAATTTCCTTTCTTAAAAATCCAAAAAACATTGGCCCTGACCAATGTTTATTTGTCTGTAATCCAAGTTCTTTTAACACACTTTTTGCTGCCTGTGTTGGTGTCGTAGCAATTGTTTTGACTGATTTCTCCTCGCATGTACACTTAAATAAAGGCAGAAGTTGTGGTTTGATTACCTCAGAAAATACTTGGCAGACATCTCCATTTGCTAGGGTTATGGATCTTTCTGATTTAAAGCCAGGTCATATTAAATAATCACGTCCTTCTGAACTCCGAATCCAAGGGCTGTTTTTCTTCTTGTGTTCAGTAACGGCTTCTCCAAGTGAAACCAACCGCCGCCACTTTACAGCTTGTTTTTTCGAACTCATCTGCAATTTAAATTAAAATATTTGGGTGAAACTTCATAAAGTATATGTAATTAGCATTATGCAAAATAATGCTCACGAAATTGTTGAAGAAAGAGTATTTCTAGATCGGTTTAAAGCCACAGATCTCTTTCGCCCCCTCAAACCCGTGTAGTGGATCCTTTTGAGAGAATAAAAAAAAAAGCATTCTTAATGTCATCTGAAAAACATGAGTTTAATACCTACCGAAAGCCAGAAAAATTCTGATTCTTCTCCGCCATTTGCATTTTTTCATCCTTAAAATGCGCGCATGTCTAAACGGTATGAAACGCTGAAGACGTCAAATTTTGCGTGATCGAGGCGCACGCAAGGGGATAAAGATGTATCAAATTACAGAAACTCCAATGTCCCCTCTCTCCTCCGCAGAGGCATTAATTGGCTATGAAGGCGCGAAGCCTCTGCACGATTCCACACCCAATATGGCGGTAAACCGGGGGGGGGCGTATAATTATCAAACGCAAAATTCAAGTCAAAATGACTGAGAAAATATCTCTTTACAATACTGCAACAAGCTGACAAAGAGATTATTTACTAGCTCTACGAAATAAGAAAGTGTTATGTTCAGTTTGCGAGAAAACATCTGCATTTTTTCTAGACAAGGTCTCCATCTACAGTATAAAACAATGCATGGAAACAACGTATTTAGCGAACAGGTTTTGGTTGCAAGCGAAGAAACTTTTATTTAAATTTATATTTGACATTTGTATTTTTAGAAATGTGTCCAAAACCGCATAAAAGAAAAAAAATGAGTATGTATAGCATACAGAACCATTATTAAATTTATTATCAAGACTGAAAATACAATTCAACTATTTCAACTTCAGCAATATTTATAAACAAACGTGACCTTCAGTCGGTTTCGACCTGATTTATTTGGAGGTTCGTATCTTTGGTTCAATATACGCTATGTAGATGAAAATACCACCGTTCGATTCAGTACAAAAATATCTCCTAGTTTCTATCGATAGTTTTAGTGAAATGTCAACACTATAGCGATTTATGACCTTTGAAAGTCAAGCGGGATTTTGTATATTAATATCAAATCACGCAATGTTTACACTTGATAAAAATATAAACTAGGCATACCTTTCGGCGAACATAACTTCGGCTCCTTGGGACGCATCCTCTTTGTATTACTCTTGTTCGAAAGCGAATTCAAAACACTACTTAGAGTGTTATTTTTGAGCTTGTATCTTGAAAACTTCATCTTTTATTATGGTATTTCCATTCCTGGTCTGATTGTGAACTAATTCCCGAACATCAGCGTGTGACAGGCGCGTGCGACTGTGCGAGTAAAAACCCGATATTTTGAAAAATTAAAAATAAATATTTCTACTGGCCGTATTCAAAAGAAATTTTCTACACGAAAGCGCTTGAATACAAGGAGTATTTTACTTCTTTGACTGGTGGCGAATTCCGAAGAGTTCAAGAAATATTCAAGTTTTTCTCGATACGAAATACAGAATGTTTGGCCAAGCGGTGAGTAAAATATACGATTGTTTGCTTTGTGTATTAAATGTTAAAAAATATTACTTTTGACCATCCACAAACATGCAAGCACTAGTCAATGAGGTCAATCAATCATGCATTAAATAATGATTTAATTTTCAAAAAGACGTTTCTTGTTTAGCTTAAAAATCACCTTTTGTTTCGATGTTTACACTTTGTCCCACTTTGTCCCACTTTGTCCCACTTTGCGATGCAAATCGTGCAGAGGCTTCGCGCCTTCCTTCGCCTTCCCTTTGCCGCCTGCGCTCCTTCGCCCAGCGGCTACGCTCGTGTTTCAAGATCCGCCATGTAAAGTGTAGTGAAATGTATCTCATCGTAATATTAAATCCTAAGAAAACTAAAGCCTCTGCGGAGGAGAGAGCCAATGTCCCCCAAATCGCCGTGAAGTGTATTAGAAAACACATCTAGATATTCTTATTAAAAGTAAATGACATTAGAGACATGCTCATTTGCATAGAGTTTATCCATGACAAAATATTTATTTGACACTGACTAAATTACATTTTACATAGCTGACTATGTACTTTTACTGTGTACTTTTACTCAACCGAACTATTACAGACAACTTGTCATTCTGATGCAGTGTTCTGACTATTAGAGTAATGGAGTACTACATTAATTGTCTCGTACTTTATAGCCATGCAATTGTCAAAATATTGCAACCCCACATCTTCCACAATCAGAATACCTGCCACATAAAACACTGTAAATAACTTGCATCCAATCATTCCATCTTTCTTTGTATCATTTTCTTTATCGCTCGGTCAGCGACAACCTTTGAATCACATAGCCAAGTTTAACCATATTTACAGGTAGTCGTATCGATCCAACATACAAGCCTGTGTCAAGATATAAGTAAAAAATTAATATACAATAGGACAATCTAACAGCTTAAGTTTATATATAACATATGCAATTAAGACATTTAATTAACCCAATAGCACGCAGGACTCTCTTCTTGATGACTAAAATTGTCTGGCGTTTTGACAGAGTCCATTTGGATGCATTGCGGCTTAATGTGTTATTCCTTTTCACCTCTAAGGTCGCAGGTTCAAGTCTCTGTGAGAACTTTCCTAATGCGACTCGAACCCAGTCCTCACGTGAAAAGAGTAAAAGTCAACTCTCTGCCGAAATTCTTGGGTTTTCCCCGGGTACTCCGGTTTCCTCCCACAGGGGAAGTTGACAGGACGGGTTTGGTAAAAAGAGCCCACAGTAATTGGCATATGCTGTTGTTGTGACCCTGCCCTAGTTGGCGCAGCTGAATAAATAATTAGTAACATTGTCTGGCATTTCACAAAGTAAAATGTCTGGTGCTAGATAGTGCAACATAAAGTAGGATGCACTTGGGCACTTTGCTGCTCAAAAGGTTAACAATAAAAGGGTGCATACATTAGCTAAGTATATTGAATATAAAGATACAGTAATTACAAATATGTATAACCAACACTCTCCCCTTAACAAGTTAATTTGTTTGGCATTTCAAGACATACTGTAGGACGCAATGGACTGGTATCTGCATCTAAATATGTGAACATGAAACACGGGCAAAATCTAGCTACACACAAATTAACTTGTCCAGCATTAGGAAAGGTGACATTTAAGAAAGTGCTGAAAACTGGATTAATTGGATTGAATGGAGTTTTTACATATATTATTAAGCAGGTCGTGTGGATGGTGTAGCTAAATGTATTGATGAGTTTGAACAAACAAACTAAGGATATTAACTGTTTCCAATTAAGGAGATGTCTATATTCAAGTTGCCATACAAAACATTTAATTGGCATATTTATCGAAACCGATCCACCCACCCTTGAAAACTTCAAGCATGACATACAAAGAAACTTGGAATTTAACTCCCTTACCCTATTGCATCGATGTCTTAGTACATCTTACTATTATCAGTTTCAGAAGATTCTACTCGAGGACTCCCCTCTGGATGACTAAAATGTCCTTTGCATCTAAAAGGGTTAATGTGGAATGTGACCCTCTGATGTTACACATTGTAAAATCACGAAGTACTGAAAGTAGCCTGCCTTTTATCTTAATAATGTGTTAACACAAAATGAGGGCAGACAATCTAGTTTTAACTAAAGGTTAAAACATTTTAAGTCCAACACACTCCCCTTGACAAGCAAAATCACCATGCACGCAGGGGTTGATTATTCGAAAGCCGATAAGTTAACCTTAGATTAAACAAATTTCCTAACAGTTTGTTTATAAATTTTGAAATATTTTTTTGACATCTTGTCTGGATCAGCACCATAGGAGTTTTGTTTTCATAATTAAAAAAAAAAAAGATACTGCATGTAGAAAGACATAAATTTTAATTACGGGTTAATCCGGCGATCATCAACTAACACCTGGTGTGACACTGAAGTCAAATAGAAATTAAATTGGGGTATATAAATGCTAATGATAACTGAGACATGCACAGACAATCTGTTAATCCATCACAACATCACATCTTAATGGATTCATGGAATACCGTAAATCTCTGACTACAAATCCTGGGCTTATACAGGCGGGGGTATAGTTACATACAAGGGATAGAGCTTACACATGGAAAATCTTTTTTGTTAGTATAATAAACCAGTCAGTCATAAACAAGAAAATAAACATGTTGTAATAATGCACTTTGATCAATTTATGATTTTGACTTAAGCTATAAAGACAATGTCTTTAAATATTGTCCTCTGCTACTGTATATTAACCCGTTGAGGCACAACGCGCCCTATAGTGCGCTCTACATTTTTTGACTTGTCTAGCGCCAAACGATTTTACTCGTCATTGGGGAAACTCTACAGCTTAATGGGTTGAACAAAAAATCTGACAATGCCTCTGGTAAACTCATTAAGCCACAATGTGCCCCAGTATGCCTTACTTATTTTTTTACTTGTTTAACACCAGACGATTTTTCTTGTCCATGGGGAAACCCTGCAGCTTAATGGATTAATGAAAAGACATAGCCAATGTTGAATAACATAGTGGGCTACTGGGCTTATATTTGGGGCGGGGGGCTTATATTCGGTATGAGGTGAGCGTTAGTACATGTGGTGGGCTTATATATGTGGGGCTTATATTTGGAGGTTTACGGTAGCATAGAAAATTTCCCTGGCACT